AAAAATATTTTATATAAAGTATTATTTATTTCATGATATAATAGGAGTAATTAATTCTATAATAATTAAATTTAAAATCATCAATATTAATATATATTTTTAAAAATTATTTTATAACTTTACTTTCAAAAGTTTTTTTAACCAAACACATTAAACTACTTTTTCTTCAACTTCAATTTCAACCACAGTTTTAATCAAACATCTATTTTTTCAAACCAACCTCAACTAAAAATACTTTTTATAAAACAACTTTTTTCAAACCACAACCACATCATTTACCGCAACACCAAACACACTCTTTGTCTTTCCCTTTTTGCTTTTCTGCCTACACTTCTTTATCTAGCTTTGATCCTTTAATTAAGCTTCCTATGAACAAGTCGAAGATTTATTAGTATCTATGACAAGAATTGCTTCGAGAAACCGATAGGTGTATGAAGAAAGAATACAAATGGAATATGGAAAGTGATTCCTTGATTAAGCAATGCAAGATATGAACATGGTAGGATAGGATTGGTGTAAAGTATACATGGACACAGTACAAAAGGCATAATTAAAGGTGAGGGAACAAAACCTTTTTCTAAATCACACGCTATCAAAAGTGATTTGCCATGCAGCTCGTGATTCTGAACTCCTAGCTACCCATAAGAAAATTAGAGTTTTCCATAACTTATCTGCAGATGCACTTTAGAGTCTGTCCTTAATTCTAATATTTTCACTGCAATTGTAGCTGTAGAATTGATGCAGGAGGTTACGGAGGATCTAAGTATTCATATATGGATTTAATGCAACTGGACTACATAAAATGCCTAGCATATACGTTTATGGATTAGATGGATAAGCTCAAGTCCAAGAATAGACATGTCAAACGTTCTTTCTGACAAAAACGCGTGTAACTTCTTATTCCATCGTTGAATCGAGCTCATATTTTCCAAGGACGTAGTTTTATTTATTTCTAAGTGATTAACCAGCTGTTGTCTTCTTTTTTTTTTCTTTTATCTGTTTAGCCTGTTCTGCAGATTTGGGGAAAAAATCGTGCTAGTTTTTCCTTCGCTTCGCTCGGCAATTGGCCTTCTTGGTGTAGAATTAATCGATTCTGGCTTCTCGAGAAAAATAGAATTTCTTTATAGCTAGAATGCAATTGTTAAAGTAAGTTTAGTTGAAGATGGAACAAAACAAAGCACTCATTTATTTGATAGAAGAACTAAACAGAGTTCATAAATCTTGAAGACACACCCCATGAACACGTAGAGCTTGGTAATACAAGACAGTTTCCATTATTATGTTGCATATTAAAGAGGATTGTGTATGTGGTTAATTTGAACAAAAGCTCAAGGTCTCATGACTGGATCAACTGTGGCCTCGTGAATTAGCAAACCACCCTTTCATTTCCCAGTCCACACTTCATACAAACCAAAATAGAGCTTGTTATCATCTGTAGTTCGTTTAACCTCAATCTGAAACGTGGGTTCTACGGTAACAGTTCTGTTGTCTGGCCTTCTTGGTGTAGAATCAATCGATTCTGGCTTATCGAGAAAAATAAAATTTCTTTATAGCTAGAATGCAATTGTTAAAGCAAGTTTAGTTGAAGATGGAACAAAACAAAGCATTCATTTATTTGATAGAAGAACAAAATAGAGTACATAAATCTTGAAGACACACCCCATGAACGGGGTAGAGCTTGGTAAAACAAGACAGTTAATTCCATTATTATGTTGCATCTTAAACAGGATTGTGTATGTGGTTAATTTGAACAAAAGCTCAAGGTCTCACTGGATCAACTGTGGCCCCGTGAATTAGCAAACCTCCCTTCCATTTCCCAGTCCAAACTTCATACAAACCAAAATAGAGCTTGTTATCATCTGTAGTTCCTTTAACATCAATCTGAAACGTGGGTTCTTCGGTAACAGTCCTGTTGTCTGAGTTTTTCTCTTGTAGTTTGATTTTGTTCCATTTGTATCTTCCCCTCTTCCCTACCTTAGCCATCATGAAAATAGGACTATTACTCAAACCAAATGCACCTGGTTTCACCTCTAGTTTGAATTTAATTTCGTACTTCCCTTCTGGTAGAGAGTCCTTCGTTGTACCAGTTAGTTCAAGCCAACACACTTGAACTAGCTCTGCTGGATCTGTCGTGCTGCATTAATATTGACGTTCGAATAGTATAAAATAACAATCTTTGTTCAAATCTTTAAATTGTTAGATAAGGTCTCAAATATTATTTATATTATTCTCTAACAATAATCAATGTCTGTGTTTGCTGAGGAAAGTTTATGTATCGAATGCTACAAAACTAAGTTTCTTTTCCTTCTATAACTAAGTAAATATCGAACTTCAGACACTGTAAGTTGAATTTTCCATCAAATTCACTGAAATTTTTAAGAGAAGATGTTTTCTTACCCTTCCGCAGGCAAGTTCCAGTAGCGTTGGTCAAGGCCCCATATGATGTTGAAGCCCCTCGGTTTAAATGTCCACCTTTGGCTATCCTGTAATCATGAAGAGGAACTCTCGTGAAGAAATAAATTTCAGCTTGAATATAGCGAGTTGATTTCAACAAAATGTTCAGCTGATGTTAGTAAGAAGTAAGATTATAAGAAAACTGATGAAAGATAACTGCATTCTGAACTTTACTCTTTTCAATATTTCATCAGGATCTGCCTCGTAATGTGGTTTATTTGAAGACATCTTGAGAGGAAATCAATTGTATTGTTGGTTTTGAGAGAAGGAGATGATCAATTTATGGATCCTTACTGAGCCTTTTATACAGCACAAGTTATGAAAGTTTTCTTACTTCGTCGTAATATTAGAGAATAATATAAATTATATCTTGAAATATTATCTAATAAATAATTTTTTGATATGGTAGCAGAATCTTGATAATTAAACAGTGAAGAGTTTGAATATTATCATTTCTATTTATTTTATAAAAAATAAGTACAAGATAAAAATAATGTAAGTTTGTATAAGTTTCAAGTTCAAACAACTTTTATTTAAGGAGATGTATTAAAACATAATATAAATTATATCTTAAAATCTTACCTAGTAACTTAAGTTATTAGATTGAGATAATTTTTTAACAAAAAAAAATATGTCAACTTCAAAGAAATAAACATTAAAAAAAACTCAACCACACAGAGTAAAAGAGACTGGAATATAGCTAGCTTGGGACGGCAAAAAGATCAATTAAATGTTCTAAACTTTATCAGTGAGAAAGGAACCTAAACCTTTTCTTTTCTTTAATCTTTAGTTGTCAGTGCTTTATATATGATCAAGAAAAGAATCGATCCACTAGGTAGAAAGACTTGAGCTTCAGCTTGCGTGTGTGCGCACTCGCATGCGCGCAATATACAATAAGTTTTCTCCGATCAGGAAAACTTGCGTGTGTGCGCACTCGCATGCGCGCAGTATACAAGAAGTTTTCTCCGATCAAGAAATTAACTTGAACAAACATGTCTGTATTATGCGCAAAAAGTATAGAATCTTCCAGCTGCCCAACCACAGAATTGAAAAAAGCATACAAGAGAAAAACCGAGCAAATTTGGCATATGAAAGAGTTGGAAAGGAATATTGTAATACAAGATGTTATAAGGATTTGTAACCTTGTTTTGAGTTGGATACATCCTTTGAATCCAAATAACTCTACGGTCCCAACTTTTCAAGCTGAATTCAGTGGACGGCTAAAAGAGTGAGCATATCAGGTTGGCATTGACAAACTATGCAATCTTCTACACTTTAGAATATGGAAGTGAAGTTCGAATTTCTGAGAGTAATCAAAATTGTAGTCGGCCGATGTTTTGATGTTGTGAACCACTTCTGGTTATTGCTATCAGAAAAACAAAGTAAAAGAATGGATTCCAACAACTAGATATCAAAATGCTTTTGCAATCTACTTTGTGGTTGGGTATGTGACGTATGTCACTGCACACAATCTAAACGAAAGGTTGTCTCGTAACAATTCCACCTTTGAACACCCTAATTTGTGACGAAGATTTTGATCATATATATAGGTCACTTAAACAATATTATTTTCTTTCTAATCCCTTATTAAGATTAAATAGTCTTCGAGTTACAGGAAAAAATGATCTGATTTGAAACATTAAATCAAAGTTGTTTTTTCTGTGTATTGGTAAACATAAGAACTAGTTATTATAGCATTAATCAAATTCATGCGCAGTAGAGCTGTTGCTTCCTGAACAATGACCTCGGGATCAAATTAGCAGACCACCCTTCCAATTTGCAAGTTGATCAATTTCAAAATTCAATATTTGATAATGAGGTTTTTAAATATTTGGATAATGAGTAAACACACATATACGCGAATATTCTTTTCTCTTAAGTTTGCAAAATAGATGGTTGGTGGTGGAAAACTTAACATTTACAAAACAGTTTTTTTTTGTGGGGTTGAAGGACTTTCCAATGATAAAATCAGTTATTTTTAATAAGGAATTGAAATAAATAAGAGAATGAACTTTAAATTCTAAAAATAAGAGTATTTATTCTTGTTTTTATATAATAAATGCACTAAGAATTAAAGTATCAATATTTAAAGAATAGAAATTATAAATTCTTTACTTGTGAGTGGTTCAAGAGGTATAAATAGTCTCCAAATCTTGTCAGCTCAAATAGAAAGGTTGAAGCGTTATTTTTTCATGATAACATTAATTAGAGATATATATCTCTTACACAACATTAATGATGTATATATATCCCTTGTACAATATTAATATTGATGAAAATATGATATGTTTTTTATAAGACTTTTATACACCTAAACGCATTGAGAGATGATTGTTCTTAACTCTTAACATGTTATGGTAAAATTTATAAAGAATAAAAAAAAATAAAGTCTCGTGACCTAAATAGGGCTCATAACAATCGTCAGTCTCATTCTCACTTGGACCTAGAACGATGTCAAGCCCAAGAGAGACAGGTTTGATAACTTGTCAAACTTATGTCTATTTGGGTTCAGCGCATAGCTGAATCTAGAAATGTTGGGTTTGGTAATTTGTCACTATCATATAAATTAGGCTCAAGGTGTGATTGAATCCAAGGATGTTGAGTTTGACATTTTTCTAGACTCATGTGTACTTGGGCTTAAGGATCCAAGGATATTAGGTTTGGCAGTGCATGGTTGAATCCAAAGATATTAGATCTAGCAGCTCATCAAACCTACATATACTTAGGCTTAGTACATGGTTGAACCTAAGAATATTGAGTCTAGTAGCTAGCTAGACCCATATATATTTGGACTCAGCATGTAGCTAAACCTAAGAATATTGAGTTTGACAACTCACCAAACTTATTTGTATTTGAGCTCAGCATATGACTAAACCTAATGATGTTGAGTTTGATAATTTTGTCAAACTCATATATATTTGAGCTTAATGCATAATTTAAACCAAGGATATCGGGTTTGATAACAAGCTGGAACTATATATATTTGAGTTTAGCATGTAGCTAAAATTAAGAATATTAAGTCTATCAAATCATTAAATCCATATGTAATCAGACTCAATCACTAAATCCATATGTAATCGGACTTGACTCATGCTTAAATAAAAAAATATTAGATTTAGAAGAAAGTTAGCACATGTTATCTAGACTTGATATTTTACTATGCCTAGATATGTTTGTTAGGTTATCACACCATCTTTGACCTTTTAAACATAGAATTAGGCTAAAACTGAAATTCTAAAAATACACTGATCCATCGGACCTCATGATAAATAGGTTTGAAGCTACTTTGAATCATTTTGATACTGCTACAGGAATTTCCTTTGACTCCTCTCCTAGCTATGATTGGTTTATTTTTAACCATTGGCATCTTCCCTTTTTTTTTATGTCTTGGCCGCCATCAAAACAGGTGTGTCAGTCCAAGAAAATGCATTGTTTTTCATAGATAACTTGAAGTTCATTCCAGACGACTTCACTTTTGTAACATGATCAGCTGAGCCTGTTGCTTCATACCATCACACCTGTAGCGTCTCTTCAGGCCATCCTTGGCTAAATTCACCCTAATTCAGCATCTGCAGATTCACAGTACTGTGTCCCTGTGGACCCTTCCTGGCTCAACTCTTGTAGTGAAGTGAGAACGGTATAGAAGAGGAGTGCCACTGATAAATTCAGGACTTCCAAGTTCTCAGATTAATTTATTTTGAGATACGTTAGGCAGGTTAATTAGAGAGGAGGGAGAGTTATCCATCATAATATAAACCAAAGTCCAGTGGACTTTGCTCTTAAATTCAGGAAAACTATGGACTATAGCATATTGCAGATTCAATCGCAGGATTTTATTATGATGTTACAGATTTTTTTTCTTGGATTCATAACAATACTTCACCCAAAAAAAAATCTTTCGGGTACATTTGGCCAAAACTCTAGGATAGTACAGGAGTAAATAATTTGAACAGAACCTCAATCTGGTATTTTTTCAACTACAGCCTCATGAATTCGTAAACCTCCCTTCCATCCTCCAGACCACAATTCATAGAATCCGAAGTAGAGCGTGGTATCTTGAGCATTTTTCGAAACTTCAAACCGAAGCTTGCCAAAAGGAACTTCCATTTCGTTATCTCCCTGCACATCTGCCAGATTGACTCTTGTCCATTTGGCAATTCCTTTCTTCCCTACCTTAGCCATCATGAAAGCAGGAGTTGTTTGCCAACCAAATTTGTCTTCTGTCATAGATATTTTGAAGCTCAGTGCATACCTCTCCCCTTTCGATAAGGGTTTTGGGGTTGAGCCGTTTATTTCAAGCCAGCATACCTTTAGCAACTCTGCAGGGTCATCCGTCCTGTAATTTGTGTAGGAAGTGTGCATCAAATGTGCTCTAAGTCAGAAAATTCCAGTTCTGTGATACTTTTCTCCATATCATTGATTATTAAACAGTTCTTAAGAATTGTAATTTTATTTCTTTTTCAAAAAAAGACAGCACTGAAATTGATTAAAGGAAAATTATCAGTACCCTTTCTCAGGCATCGTCCAATAACCTTCGTCACTACTCCAAGTGATGTGCAATCCCCTTGGCTTAAACCTCCACCTGCCCGTATCCTGTAAACATAAAAACCATTCTAGCCCATCAATAACACCATCATTTTCAGTCTTCAGTGATAGTTTTGCATGCATTTTCATTTTAACAATAATCAAGGACAATCAAAGTGGAATGAAATGACCTAAATCCCAAGTTTGTTTATAGAAATGTTTAATCCAAGGGAGACTGCAGCGAACAAAAACTACTTAAGAAGTAGAGTTTCTAAAAAAGCTAATAGCATATTCAACCTCTTCATAGTCCACTTCTCCAGGATCAGCTGCCTCTGACATCTTGAGAGCAAATAAAGAAATCTATGTACTAATATCGGTTCCGAGAGTATGCCATGAATCCTTATGAAGCCTTTATATCCAGGGAAATGGAAAGAATCTTCATTACTTCATCAATGTTTCCCTGTCAACACAAGGACATTGAAACAATCTCAACCACAAAGGGGAAAAGACAGATTCGATTAAACTTTGAATCGAAGGAATCGTGTAAAATGTAGTCGACTTTATCACGAAGAATAGTATTAGAATATTTTTGGTATCTCATTGGGGGTCCATATATCTATGGTCAAGAAAGGAATTGATCCATTTTGCTAAGAGATAACAATATTCATTCTATTTTTTTTATAAAAAAAAAAACAATACTTATTCTATGATCATAGGCTCACATTGCCACCAGGAGAAAATTGAATTATGAAGGGAAAAAGGGAATTTTGCCTTGCAATTACGTTTCCATAAGCTAAATATATTTTAATCTAAAAACTAAAAACATATTGCAAATAATTTATCTCGAGTTTTTGAAGAAAAAATGATTAAAATAATCACTTAATAATTAAATGTAAGAAGTAAGAAAAAAGAAGTGGTAGGTCTATACGAGTTCCATACTCGAGGAATAGCCATGTATGAGTTAGAAAAAAAAAATGATAAAAAGGAACTCTTGATTAGATTATTTTTTTGTATAATCAAACTTTATAAAATTTTATTTTGTTTTATTCGAAAATTAAGTACAATTTAAACTTTACATACACACTTAACATCTTTTCTATAAAAAATAAAAAAATAAAAATGGTGATTATAAATTATAATTTATTTAATGATTAAAGAGCCACCACCCCTCCTCTTCTTCCTCTTGATTTTCAGTCAAGGGTGTGTTTGTTTGGTATGTTTCTTCAAGGGACTTTGTTGAAGTTAATGATTCCATTGCTTCTTTTGATGGTGGATCATCAAAGGCAGGCTTTGCTTCCTCTAGGGTTTTAGGATATGAAGAAGAGACATGGGTTTTGATCAATTTAGGGTTTTAAGAATCTGCAAAGAAGAACCCAATCTTCATTCCACGCACAATCAACTCCAACCATAAACCCACAATCGCAATTCAAACGATGAGAAGAACATCCAAAACACCAAATCTGCAGTCCATTTTTTGAAGCCAGATTTGAAAGTTTTCTTCCAATTCTAGCCATCCAGATTCTATCTTAGCCTGATCTAGAACCTCATTTATCAGCGTGACCTCAAATTGAAGCACTCACATAGTCTGTTGAATTTCGAGCAGGTATGGGTTGACAAAGATGTCGATTAGGCACAACAAGGCAACAGATTAATGAGAAGTTAGCGTCTTGAGAATTGCGGCAATGTCAATCATAAAGTTGCAGAAGCTTGAACATTTGACGCTTGCCCTAAATGATGTCCTAAGAAGTCTAATAACTCAGAGGTGTGCAGAGCACAAGGTTGAGCCACCAACAGCGTTAGAAATGTAAGGATAAAAAAAGGCAAATTTCTAATTACCTAAAACACCATTCATGGGGTCCTGATTTGGGGAAAACAGTGGCAAGAAACTGGAAGTTTTGTTTTTTAAAATGTTTTTTATTAAAAAATATATTAAAAAAATATTTTTTAAAAAAAAATTGTTTTTTATATCAACACATCAAAATAATTTAAATATACTAAAAATATATTAATTTAAAAAACACTTCTAGGAGACAACAACTAACAGCACCTAATATTTCAATTTAAGGTCTTCGGAATTTGCAAAGAGGAAGATTTTCATAACTTGAAGAGAGAAGATTGATACGTCATTTGGTTGATTTTTGAAAAATTTTGTTGATCCAAAATGTAAAGTGTAGCGGTTATAACAATTCGAAACAACCAAATTACATGATGTTAAACGTAATTTTCCCATTCAGTAAAATAATTCAGAAGACAAAACAGTTGGTTTAGCATGGGAAGCACACTTGGGTAGTAGCAAAATTCAGAAGATGCCCTTCTCGTTTCTTCATCACTTCTTCTCCAGAGCAATGGATGCAGAAGCCAAATCTTCAGCTGCTGCTGGCTTGTGCAGCTGCAATTATAAACCAAAATTCTCATGGAAGATGCATAATAAATGTTACTTGATCAATATTCTTCTGTCCATAAAAAGTAGAATGTTCAGCAAAATTTACATACTGGTGCTGTCTTAATCAATGATTTTCTATGTTTCCTAGGCAATCACTGCGGCAAGGAAATTAGAAATGGCTCCAACGAAGATAAGAGAAATCTAGTTTTGAATATTTCAAGGCAACACTTCTCCACCAAAAAGAATGCAGTAACTGGCCAGTGTCCATTTCCTTCTAGATTAACAGCAAGAAAAACGAAGACTTTGAGAATAATAGCTCTTTACTAGCTCGAGCAGCTGCAATCATAATCAATTTCTCAGGATAACTAAAGGTCAAAGGTCTAATATTTTTTTACTCAAACAAAAAGGATAATCAGTTCAGTAACCTAAGATGTTGGTCAAATCCTAAGCGATGGATTCTGTGTTCCAATAAAAATCTGATTTAAATTTTTGCAAGAAAACACTTTTGGATAATCAACACTTTGCCAGTGTCTATTTCCCAAACGGACTGAGAATAAGAACGATGAAGACTTCGGCCTTAGTAGCTCATTTCTCAAGATTTTGAGCCCAAAAATCAAAACAACTATTTGGGTTCAAGTGACAATTTAGTTCGTACATGTTCCCTCTGATCAAAGTGCTCGAAGAAAAAGAGACTTGTCAGTGTATCAACTTTCTACATGACAAAGGGCACTGAAAGGAAACTTACTGCTTCTGCCACAGATAACCACTGGAGGGAACGCACAAAAGCATCAACTTTTGAAGGCAGGCTGTCGTGATTCCAATATGTTATGTTCTCAAATTTTGCAGTTATCTCCCAGGTGTTTGAGTTTTGTTCAGAAATGTCAGAAGCTTTTCTCTTGCCAAGACTCTTCTTTCCTATGACAAAGCCTGCAGACAACAATAAGAAATAAGTACCAGCTTGAACTTGTTCTGCAATATTTCATAAACTCATTCGCATCAGGAAACCAAACCATTCTTACGAAATTGAAGGTATAAAAGAACAACCAAGCCTCAATCCTAAACTAGTTGTTTCTTCTCATTTGTGAAATCAAAAGTATGCAAAAAATATCTCAAAAACCATCTTGTTTCAGGTCTCTCGATAATGAGACGAACATGCCAGAACCATCCTCTTGACTGATTTAAAAACTATTGTGAGGAGATACAATTTAGCCTCCAAAGTAGTTGTTTCTAACTTAAAATTCAAAATTTGGGTGCGCACGTGTGTTTGCGTGTTAACATCTGAGAAGATTATGGTGTTCTTTTGAATGTTTCAGTCTTTGAATGAGGTCGTAGTTCTTATCAGAGTTTTTTAACCACTCTCCACCCCAATCTATACTTAGTACTACCAGGTAAAAACAATGGTATCTGTATAAATAACTTTCACATTCCAGCTCCGATTGCTACAATAACCCACAAAACACGCTATCCCAATTAAACGTACAAAAACAAAAAATATTAATTTGAACCAACATCACAACATTGCCATATTCTCAATTAATCATATGATCCACAAATGAGAGAAGAAATACTACCCCTTTGAGTAGGGCTTTGTCACAGAACCACCCAACTCAAAATTTTAACCTATCAGTTTAGCTGCTGCAGCCAAAAGGGAGGCCGAAAACCCTCCAAGTCCAAAGAAACCATTTTACACCATTTCACACAATCAAAAAAAAAATATATATTGGAAACACCCACACAAAAGCAATGACTAAGAAAAAAAACAAGAATCAAACCGACTCAAATTATTTCCCACATTATGTAAGCAAGAAACCATTTTTTCCCCATATTGGATCATAAAAATTATATTAAAAAAAAAATCCGGGGTTACAATATAACATGCTTACCAGAATACCCATTTGGAATAGGAAGTGTGGCACCCTGTAACTTCCTGCCTCTAAAATGAGCTTCCTCAACTTTCATCTCTTCCACTTCTACACCTACAGAAGCACCAAAACACACAGAATTATAAGAAACAGTACATAAACAGAGGGAGGCCAAATGGGCAAACAGGGAAGAAAAAGCTGAAATTACTTACCGGTGGGTTTGGGTTTGAAGTAGTGAGAAACAGCAGAAGGGCCATCATATTTGATGCAGCAAGGTAGTAAGTGGACTTTGCCTGTTAAATTCGGGACTTCTGTCTCTGATTTCTTTTGATTTATAGTTCCTGTTATTCCTGCTTTTGAATTTCCATCCAAAACCATTTTTGCTGATTGTTTTCTTGATTTGGATTTCTAATTTTCCATTGAAATCTTCCAGCCTCTCTCTTTGTGTTTTCTGTTTTCCCGCGCTTTTTCTCCTCCGAAAATGGAAGACAGAGAGCCCTAAACAGAAGGCTAATAGATTGACAGACAAGGCTGGCTTGGCTTAGAACTTTAGATTCGTGAGGGATCTACGTGCGACTTGTCATCTGCCCTAGAGGACACTAAGTCAATGGATTTCTTTCTGGTGGGGATCATAAGCTATTATTAATTTATTAGATTATACTTCGAGCATCTTCGATAAAAAATATTATATTGAAGAGTCAAATAAAAAAAATTAAATAATATAAATATAGTTTTTTGAATTATATACATTCCAATAGTAAAAAGCTATTTAGAAAAGTCATTTATATTTTAATATATTTCATGTTAAATTAATTTTAATATAATTATATAACTAATTTAGATATTTTATATATAATATAATTATAATGTTATTAATTATATAATTAATATGAGTAATTTATAAAAGTAATATAAAATTAATGAAGTAATATGAAAGTTAAAAAAATATAATTTAAAATTTATTTATATGAATATTTTTAATTTTAAGTTTTATATGTTATTGTTAAAAATTTAAT